ATAAACATGTGCCATTTTTTATTTCGTTTGAGCCACGCAGCAAACACCACTATTCACTCACGCCTTACCGACTGACACATTGACTGAATAAAAACATCGTGATGAGCGTTTCAAATTCTTTCACTTTTTTGTTTCCGATGCGATGAACCGAAAAGGCGGATTATATCCGTTGTTGCCAAACACGAGCACATAATATTATTATTGAGACAGGGCGGTACTCAAACTTCTAAAGGGCTATAACTTTGTTACTTTAATTTTACCACAAAAATGTTAAAGGAAAAAACATTTCTTTTGATCAGATCTACTCACTGTTAAAATAAATGACTCAACGTCACCCTATATATATAGGGTGACTTTGAAGTTGAGTCATTAATTTTCAGATAATGATTGTAGAAGGAAGATAAACCAAAATATGTGTGTAAAAATAAAAAAAAAATTTTACCTTGTTTTATAAAGTATCCTTCCGACAAGTATTTCAGTGCGGACCTGTATTTGATCGTGAGGTCCCCTGTGAGGTCTTAAGTCACCTGTTTCACGAGCCCGTTGTACTACATTAACAAAGGCACGAAGGGTTGGTTGCACTCGATTGGGAAACCGATCCGCATAAACATGTGCCATTTTTTATTTCGTTTGAGCCACGCAACATATACCACTATTCACTGACACTGACTGTATACAAATGAATGAAATAATTGTAAAAACATCGTTCCAAATTCTTTCGCTTTTTTGTTTCCGATGCGATGAACCGATACGGCGGATTATATCCGTTGTCGCCAAACACGAGCACATAATATTATTATTGAGACAGGGCGGTACTCAAACTTCCAAAGGGCTATAACTTTGTTACTTTAATTTTACCAGAAAAATGGTAAAGGAAAAAAACATTTCTTTTGATCAGATCTACTCACTGTTAAAATAAATGGCTCAACTTCGAAGTATATATATATATACAGGGTGTTTCAGTTTATTGTTGCATAACTTTAAGATTCGATAAAACTTTTAAAATTAATGCATAAAGTCTATATAAACATGGGTCGAAAAATGCGTGGCTTCCGAAATACAGGGTGTTTAAATTTACTTTTTAAAATAGTTTTTTTTAAATATTTCGAACAATATTTGATGTATAACAGTGCAAATTGGTATACAAGGGTTTTTTTGGTACGACAAAACGAACCATGGGCATAGTTTTACTGTACCTGTAGTGCATTAAAATGACCGAAAATTTTTTCTTAGTGCAATTTTTTTTCTTTTTGAATAAAAAAACTGATTCTTCGCACTTTTCAACATAAAAAAGCTCTCCTGTGAGTTTTCGTTATAGTTAGCCGTTTTTGAGATATTTTGATTTTTAAGGTTCGATGGATTTTTAATTAATTATGATAAAATAACGTTAAACAGTCAGTATCTCGATAAATTTTAGAAGTAGGCTGTGCCTGCAAATATTTTTGAAATTGAAACCAGAATAAGGATAAACGTCAATTAGTTGACAGTTAGTTTTGTTGTCTGTTGAAACCTGAAACGTTTTATTGCAATTGTGAATGCACGAAATTTAGTTTCTTTTACCTGTTTTTTTTTGTAAGTTTATGTATATACCGAGTTTGTCCGGAAAGTAATAGGACTGAGTCGATTTAAACAAATTTATTGAGCCAATCGTTACAATTCTTTAAAAACTTTCAAAATAGGCTCCTTCTGTGTCGATGCAGCGCTGCCAGCGCGATTTCCAAGCATTGAAGGCGTCACGGAAGACATTCTCCGGAATAGCATTGAGAGCCGCATTATGCTTTCATATAATGTCATCGTAGAGAACGACTTAATCTAATTCTTACTATTTGCTGTCGATACGACAGCACTAAATCTACAACAACAACCGAACTAACATGTCATGTGAACGAAAAGCGGTCCACAGTGAAAACCTGATGTCAAGCCAATTATTTATGTATCAGTCAATTGAAAACTCCAGATCTAAATTTTATTCTTAAATACTTAAAAGAGAACACTGCGTCTGTTAAATTTTTAGGAGTGTACTTGACGTGGGATCAGCATATCAGATTACTGTGGAAAACATTATCAAGAAGCATTTACCTGAATAGAAATATGTTCTTATTAGCAGCCAGGTCTTTTCAGGTTGTTTCCACATTTGTCCACTTTTATTCAATTTGTTTGTTAATGATGTTGCAGAAGCTATACTAAGTGACATATAAATCCGAACAACCAGTTTAAATGGTTTTATTTTAATAAAAGTTGGTGAATGTATTTATCCTACTGTAAATAACAAGTGAAAAAGTTTTCAGCCTTATCAGTTGGACATTCCGGTTTTTATACTGCTTTTTTTAAATTCACTAACGCTCTAAAAATGAATATTTCAGCCGCAGTAAAGAATCAACGTTGCCGGATTTTGGTTCTTGACATCCTTTACGATCGGTTACGATGCCTAGAGTACGGAGACCTGTACGATTTCGTCAACTTAGTGAGTTTGATAGGGGCCGTATAGTGGGACTTCGGGAAGCTGCACTTTCTTTTCGGGCAGTTACACTTAGAGTGCAAAGAAGTGGTTAGGTGTTGTCAGGCATGGCTTCGAGGAGGCCGTACGCAAAGAGCAAGGGGAACTGGACGCCGCCGTAGAACAACAAACCGTGAAGATCGCCGCCTAAGATTATTGGCCTTAAGAGACCGTTTCTCCACTACCAGGTCAATTCCAAATGAATGGTTTGCAGAACACGGAAGACCTATTGGCATGCGAAGTGTTTACCGACGAATGAGAAGTTTTGGCTTGTTTTCATACCGGCCACACTGGGTCCTCCCTTTAACTCGAGAACACCGACGTAATCGCCTTGAGTGGTGCAGACAACGGTCACTCTGGGATCAGGAATGGAACAGTATTGTCTTTAGTGACGAGTCTCGATTTTGTTTAGGCATGCACGATGGTCGTGCCAGGGTTAGAAGGCGACGTGGTGAAAGGAGGAATCCACAGTTTTTTGTTGAAAGACATGTTCATTACACTGTTGGAGTTATGGTTTGGGGTGCTATAGCTTATGGTTCCAGGTCACCTTTAATCTTCATCAGAGGTAACATGAACGCGCAGCGTTATATCCACGAAGTTCTAGAACCCCATCTTTTACCTTATCTTGACACCCTGGCAGATCCAACTTTCCAACAAGATAATGCCCGACCACATGTTGCAAGAGTCACAATGGACTTCTTTTAACATAATGATGTCACATTGTTACCATGGCCACCAAGATCTCCCGACTTATCCCCAATTGAGCACGTGTGGGATATGATGGGTAGGAGATTGCTCAATTTGCAACGTCCTCCTCAGACTCTAGAAGCACTTCGAGAGGAGTTGGTGGTTGACTGGAATGAGATACCACAGGAGGACATTGACCACCTGATCAGAAGCATGCCTAGGCGCGTTGGAGAATGCGTAGCACATCAGGGTGCATCCACACCATATTAAAGGTCAAAGGGCTTTAAAGTAGTGCAATCATTTTGAAATTTTTATCATTTACTTATTATGCTTCATTAAGTACTTATACAAAATTTTATTAAAATAAAACCATTTAAACTGGGTGTTCGGATTTATATGTCACTTAGTATATTTGATTTTTGCAGATGATTTTAAATTATTCAGAAACATGAGTCTTACAATCTTAAAAAGAGACTTCATAAATCTTAGTCGGTGGCGTATTACTAATAAGATCCACATCAATTTGAATGAATGCTACCAGATAAGCTTCAGGCGTAGTTCAAATTCTCTCATGTATGTATAAAGTTGAAATACGTGACCTCACGAGAACTGATATGATTAGGGATTTATATATAATTTTTGAGGCAAAATTAACTTTTAAAGCAAACATTATTTCCAAACCATTTTGGGATATATTTTTAGATCCACCTAACATTTCTTTGTAGAAACTTTTTGAATATCATACTGCTTTTTGGTGCGGAGTATTCTGGAGTACAACACAGTGGTATGGCCGCCCAATTTCAATTGACATTAACTCCACTGAAGCAGTGTAAGGTAAATTAAAACAGACCTAAGCCAGAACTGATTAGTACGTTGAAACACCGCAGGGCAACTTTCGTTTTATGTTTCTTGTTTATGATGCCCAGAGTTTCTTGTACAAATAAACCTCGCAATAAAGAACCGTTTGCCACTTATGGTATCCATGGACCAGTTACTAGAATTCTAAGCCTAAATATAGATATTTTTCTATTCAACTTTAGTTTGTTACGTTTTAAATATGAGTAAATTGGGTATCACATGAATCTTTAGTTACTCCTTAGTTTAATAATTTATATAAAGCAAATGTTACGTCACATATTTTGTACAGGGTGTTCCTTAATGATATGCGAATATTTAAGGGTGTGCATCTACATGAAGAATTAATGTTAATTTGCTTTATAAACTATGGTCCAAAAATGTTTCCTTACAAAAACTCGGGCCGTTGAAGTTTTAGGAAAAAAATGAAAATTTATTAATATTTTCAGAACCGCTTCAGATATTCATATATACAATAATAATTTTGCAAGTTAGACTCAAAAATGGCGCATCAAAGGAAAACAATTCAAGAACGATCATTTGTTTTAAATTGAACGGGAAATTCAAAAATAATTTTTATTTGGCAAAAAATCATTGGCGTACCATTTTTTTCTTAAGAAATATCGAAGTCAATACCCGTACGCACGCCACTGTTAAAGCTAAAAATTATTTTTGCATTGAAAATTATGCAAATTTATTGAATTTCACTACGTACTTAATATCAGTGAAATATTTGAAGTGGTTCTGAAAATATTAATTAATTTCCATTTTTTTCCTGAAACTTCAACACCCCGAGTTTTTAATATATCATTATCTGTATTTTTGTAATGGGAAACCGTAAATAAATAAATAAACAAACCACTATGTTTGCATTTTCATGTTTGGAGATCCCGGAAATTGGAGCTAATTGAAATAAAGTATACGCTGATTTCTGCGTGAAAATCTCGTCGGTCTGTGTTACCTTTATCCTGTGCCGTGAGAAGAGAGGAAGATAAGGTTTGTTTGATTTTCTCGAACGTCATTCCACCTTCCACTTCAGCCGCGCTATGAGCAGAACCAGGCTCCGTAGCCACCATCTGGAATCAATAATTATTACTCAGTTTGAAAACCTGCAGAGCACATCATTCGAATACACTTCGGAATTCAAGTTACGCGACGACTACCGGAAATCGATAAAGGTGGATGTTACAGTGAATTTTATTAAAAGTGCTATATACAGGGGGTTCCCAAGGCACCAGATCTCAAACAGTCATTCCATGAGCTACTTTTTGATGTTTGCAAAGCTGCTTCCGCTCAAGGTTTTAAGTATCGAAAATTTGTGAGATATAAAGCTTGTCAATCAGTAACAGTGATCTTTTTGTTATTATTGCTTTATTATCGCCAAAGATGCGAGGCAGTCATTTCAGCAATGAAGAAATGTTCGACATGCTGACGTGCTAGATTTGGTGCTACAAACATACTAAAAATACTGCAGAAATGTATTTTGCTATAATAATAATAATAATATTTATTCACTCAATGTACAAAGATAACAAACAATATGAGTAAATAAATATAAAATCAAAACAGGCCCAATAGAAGGCATCGCCTGTACATGGACCAATAATTCAAGTTGAAACTGTAGAATGCAAATGACAAAAAAGGACAAAAATTAGCTACAGTAGATTATGTATTTAGTTGATGTTCGTATTTATGAGTTTATGAATTTCAGTCCTAGATATAGAATGTAGCCACTTTTTTAAATTTCTTTTGAAATAATTTCCGAATCGTAAATCTTTTAAGTCTAGGTATAATTTCATAAAATTTAGGCGCTAAATAGAGATATGATCGCTGCATTATAGATTTATGCGGTTGAGGAACTACTGTGCCACGAATTTTGTACCTGGTATAATGATTATGTTTAATTTTTTGGTCGGTGTTTACAAATTTATGGTAGTGAGTGATACTGTGTAAGAAATAAAGCTGTCTTATATCATACATTCGAACATCTGCGTATAATTTTTCAGTGGGATAAAGTTTTTTAAATATCATTTTTAGAATACTTTTTTGAAAAACATCTAAATTATAGATATGTGAGGAACATGCAGCTCCCCATGCTAATATACCATATGTGAGATGAGGCTCAATCAGTGCATGGTATAATGTTCGAAGATATTTTTCTGTCAATATATTCCCAAGGTATTTAATTTTGTAGGATACAAATCTAACTTTCTTTAAAATATAATTGACATGGATGTCCCATCGTAAGTGAGGATCCAAGACCACTCCAAGGTATTTTATGTTGGGCACTCTATTAAATTGCATTTTTTGATCGTTAATGTTGAAGGAGAAATTTGTGTAATTTGGCAGATGTCTAGCGTAAGATCCAAATGGTAAAAAATGTGTTTTAGAGTAGTTAATGCTTAATTTTCTACTGTTAAACCACCGAATAATTTTGATAAAATCATTTTCAATTACATTTTGCAGATCAGACCAGTCAGTGCCTTCAGTGCCTTCATATAATATGTATTTGATTTACAATTTTAGTTATTGCGTCCGATGTAGCCTTCCCTTCTGTAAATCCATATTGATTTTCACTCAAAATTTTGAATTTTGTGAGGTATCGAATCATTCTAGTAGATAAAAACTTTTTCAAAAACCTTTGCTACACTGGATATTATTGATATTGGTCTATAGTTGTTAACATCTGTTTTTGTTCCTGATTTATGTATCGGCATTATATTACCTTTTTTTAAAATTGAGGGATATATGCCAGATTCAAAGCATTTGTTGATTAGGTAAGTGAGTGGTTCTTTTATGTCCTCGGCTATAATTTTCAAATACTCGCTTTTAATACCATCGAACCCAGGACTTTTCCGATTTTTTAAGGTCATAACAGTGGTGTATACTTCACATTGCTCGACTTTATCCAAAATAAAGGAGTTCAAAGTTCTTTTTGGAGGCTGAGTATTTTGTACATTTGCTTGTATATTACTTGCTAAATTTTCGCCTATGTCAGTAAAGAATTGTACAAATTCATCGCATATCTGTTGAGTATTTTTTAATACTGTTCCCGATGTTGTATTTAACTCAGTGACACACTCTTTAAATTTTGTTTTCCCAGTAATCTCACCAATAGTTGTCCAAAGCCGCTTAGGATCATTTAAGTTATTATTCAATTTATTTAGGTAATGTTTTCGTTTGGTTTGCCTTGCAAGCTCTATAAATTTATTTTTATAATGGTTGTAGCAGTCGGTATTCTCTGTAGTTGGCGTTAGTTCCATTACATTATATAGTCTTTCTTTTTCTATTGCCGATGTTATTAATCCTTTGGTAATCCAGGCATTTCTCTTTGTGACTAATTATTACTTTATTGGTACTAATATCTATTAGTTTTTTTATTTTCTCTATGAACAGTCTCGTTGCTTTGTCTATATTATTTATAGAGTATAATTGTTCCCAGGATTCTTGTTTGACATTTGATATTAGTTTTGAATTGCCGACAAAAAATTTGTAATTTTCCTGGTTGTTATTAACGGTAAGGATCTTAGAATGTTTTTCATTTGAAGATATCAGTAAACTAGTGGAGAAGTGGTCAGTAATATCGCTTTCTAGGATTATTGGTATACAAGTAATTTTGTTGGATAGGTCTTTCACAAAGCAGTGATCTATACATGTGCCACTGATGGACCTTGTAGGTAGGTTTATATAGGACAGAAATCCGTTACTTGATAGGATATTCAAGTATTCATTTGTGATGGGATCATCGTACAAAATATTTATATTAACATCTCCCAAGAAAATATGTTGCTTTAAATTAACTTTATCTTGATTTTGAAAAAAAAATCGATATTCTTCAAAAACTCGTGGGGTTCTGAACATGGCGGACGATAAATTGCAGATACCTCAATTTTGTTATGGTTAATTTGGATCATTATGTTTAAAATTTTGATTCCATCAGTGAAAGTGAATGTATCATGATTATATTGCAGTTCATTTCTTACAAAAACTATCACCCCATCGTTTTGGTTATAAGTGCCAAAGTTATACAGCGTGTCATATCCCTGCTGATTGAAGCAAGAAATATCAACACCCTGTATGTTTTGTATATCCTAAAGGGCCTCTTCGAAGAAAGAAGTTTGATATGCAGTATTATAGGATTTGGATCGCTACAGGGTATTCTGTGTAAGAAAAAACACTACATCAATACATTCTTCTTTTGAATTGGTCTCCTAGAATAGTCTATAAAACTTCCATTAAAAAAATGTGTGTCTGGGTTGCCACGTACTTAGAAGCCTGCAGAGAGCAGTATGTGGTTGCGCCTATTTTTGGGAGTAACTTTTAGATATCTTGTGTGTAAGATATAGCATAGCTATTTGTAAACTCTGATAATTCTAAAGGAATAAAACCTGGTTATCTTATATTTATTTGGTCTACATCTCATAAACGAAGCGATATGTCAAAAATCATCAACCAATTTTTGTCTCATATTCAAGAAACGCGCTGTATAAGACTAGATAATAATAAAATTCGGTTATGGATCATTAAATTCTAGTGAACATTAGAGGCGCAAGAATAAAGAATAGCAAACCGGTCAGCCATAAAATAAACTTCTTGGAAATAACACTGGACAACAAATTTTAGTTTTTTAATTGTATCTTGTGGGAAAAGTGCACTTCTTTGTTAATTTTGGGGCGCTGAATCCAAAAATGACAATGGAATAAAAAAATTAGTTGCGGTTTAGAAAAAAAACTTTTTATTTTTAAGGATATATTAAAAAAAGTAACAAGATTCATATACTTATCACTATATGCGCTGTCTTTTTGCTGTTATTTTATGGATCGTTTCTGGAGCATCTCTACCAAGAGTCCAACAGTAGTCTGCAAGCATGGAAGGATTCCACTTTCCCTGGTACCTTTTTTCCATTGTTGAAATATCCTGATGAAAACGTTCGGCGTGCTCATCACTTACGGCTCCGCAATTGTCAGGAAAAAAGTCCAGGTGTGAGTGTAGGAAATGTATCTTAAGAGACATATTACAATCCATCTTTTGATACGATGACAGCATATTTTTGACAAGGGTTTTATAGTTGTCAGCTTTTCTATTTCCCAAGAAATTAGTGACCACCAGACGGCAATCATTCCAAGCCGTTTTTTCAATACCTGTTAAAGTGTTTTCAAACTGTGTATCTTTCAAAATATTTCGAATCTGTGGACCAACAAAAATACCTTCTTTAACCTTTGCCTCACTTAGTCTTGGAAATTTCTGACGCAGGTATTGAAAAGCTGACCCATCTCTATCTAATGCCTTGACAAAGTTTTTCATTAGGCCCAACTTGATATGCAGTGGTGGTAATAAATTTTTTTTCGAATCTACTAATGGCATATGCTGTACATTTTTTTGACCTGGCTCTAGGAATTGACGAACAGGCCAGTTTTGTCTGGTGTAATGAAGTGCCTTTGCCCGACTGTCCCATTCACACAAAAAACAGCAAAACTTTGTGTAGCCTAGCTGCAGCCCAAGTAAAAGTGCAACAACTTTCAAATCGCCACAAATATGCCATTGGTGCTCATCGTATTTTATGCATGTCAATAGGTACTTCATATTGTCATATGATTCTTTCATGTGAACTGCATACCCTACAGGAAGAGATGGTAAAATATTTCCAATATGCAATAACACTGCCTTTAAACTCAATGTTGAACTGTCTATAAACAATCTCCATTATTCTGGGTTATAGTTTATATTTAAAGCCGCCAGTAAGCCGTTAATGTTACTGCAGAAAAAGTTATTCTCCATATTGAAAAATGGTTCTGAGTCTTTGTGGCGTTTACGAAAAACACATACCGGAACATCGTCTTCTAACAAGTTCCACTGCTGCAGTCTTGATCCAAGTAACTCTGCCTTACATTTTGGAAGTTCTAAATCTCTTATAAGATCATTTAATTCTGACTGTGTTATTTTGTGAGGTCGGTGGCATGACGTGCTCGGTATAAAATCAGGATCTCTTGACGTTGTGGCATATCTTCTTCCTAACGAATCACTCGATCGCCATGATCTGATTCGTTTTCTGATTCGCAAGTGTAGGATTCTGGGG